TTTCCATTTCAAAGTTTAAAGCACTTGTATCCAAGCTAGGTATACAGAATTTGTATACTCTAGCTTGAGAGGGGGGATATTAGGGTATGCGAAGATAAGTAATTTTGTAAATAAAATGGCTGTAATATTATTTTTATAAAGTTGGAGATTATTTTGTAAATACATATTAATTCCATGTATAAATGCCCTCAATTAATGAAAAAAAATAGACACTTTTGTTTTTTTTAGATTTTTCCACTCTCTCTTCTTCCTCATTTTAAATATATAAAATGTGAACCCACTTTGAATTTAAAAAAAATTAATTTTATTTTGTGTCAAAATTTAATAAAATTTGATTGATTCTATAGTTGGTTGAGTCAAATCTTTTGTAAATTTAATAAAATTAAAATCAACCGGCAAATTAGTTGTTAGGTTGGGGTATGCGACTTAGAGTTTGGTGGCCACAAAACATAAAGGCGAAATCTCCAATTCATTATGCTATTAGTTAAAAAAATCACCATATTTTATTCATATTATTTTTTATTTACTTAATAATTATTATATTTAAGATTAATTTTTTTTATAAATATATAATTCTTGTAAAAATAAAATTCAGTAATATCCCAATTGAATAGTTTAGAACAAATTGACTCGGTTTATCAATTAAATCTTAAATCGAACAATTCATATTAGTTATTATAAACACACTTTAATTAATATATATATATTTATTTTATTATTACATTTTTTAATTATGGCTTCAACTAAATTATTAGTCAGATTAAGGTGTAAATAAACTAATATCAAAGTGATTTAACAAGCAATCAAATTTTAGTAACTACAACTTAGACAGTGTCATAAATTGATCCTAAATATTTACACATATTTTTAGATAGTTAGTGGCACGTATTAAATTGAGGTGGGAGAGGGGATTCAACTTATATATATGTATATATATATATATATATACATTATTCTGTAATACAATTCCAAATTTCTACTAAATTCTTCTCCTTTTATCTATTAATTCTGAAAATAGAAAAGGAAAAAATTACAACATAATACTAACAAATTGCAGCATAGTATGTAAATGTAAATATATACCAACATATTGTGTGAACTCGAGGTAGTTTAGAATATCCGGGGACCTATTCTATTTACTTACAACGATATATATAAAGTGAAGATGGTGACTTTGACGCAAACCAAGTAAGGTGGCTGACTTGGTTGGTGAAATTGGGAGAATACTCCCAAGTCCAACCTTACAATTCAACCCAAAATCAATCTAATAAACAAAACCAAAAACTCCAAACTCACAAGTTATATTTATATATTCATAGAATACAAAATCAAGAATAAAGATTGAATCATTCAAGAATCAATATATATATATATATATATATATATAATATGCTTCCCCAAATTGAAGGGTTATTCTTCAATTTCTTGGTTGGAATTCAATTCTTAATTTTTAAGATGTGAGTTAGATTATGGGCATCAAGTAATCCAAGATAGTAAGTTTCATATCTATATATATATGTGTGTGTGTGTGTGTGTGTTGGTTGGTGCAAATTTTCTCTTAATGTGTTGGAGTAGGCAAGTTGGGTATTGTATGGGATTTGAGAAATGAGGAAAATGAAGAAGTTTGACTTTAAAATGGTCTTTGCCTAACACTTGAAGAGCTACTAATATAAATAAGTAGTTACATATACATATACTAAATATTTTATATGAGAATTCATTAACACTTGAAATAAAAAATTACCCACGTGGAGTTCGACAATGGAGGGGAAAATTAAACAAAAAAAAAAACTTTGAGTTATTCTAAATTCAACTCAACATGTTATTATATATATATATATATAATTCAATAATCTATATTCAGAAATATATTACTACCAATTTGTGATGGTAAATTTATTAATAACATAATTATATTTTAAATAAATTAAAATGTTTTACTTTATTCAATTATAAAAAAGTGGGATAGAATATAATAAAATCCATAATGAATTTTAATTAGAATTAGAATATTTTATTTCAAAAAAAATTTAAAAACTAATAAAATTTAAAATTCTAAACATATATGAAAAATTGCCTCAACTTCTCCCTACATATATATATATATATATATATGATTGCATTCAGAAAAATAGTTTGTAATGTACATACTTAGATATAAATATCTTATAACTTCATGCAAAACATTGTTTTTAAGTAATAGAGTATCTCACGTATACCATGGCCATTCGTCGTGATTATTTTTTTTTTCAAAATTATTTATGATTGTTGTTGAAGAATTAAAAATTATGGCATTTTTTTAAGCAAAAAGTCAAAGGTGTGCAACGCCCACTATAAACTTCCTTGACGTACCATTTAATGTTGGCTTATATTATATTATATTATATGTTATTTATATATACAAACTATTTATAAAGTCTTACCTCATTAAGATCTCTTTAATTATCATATTATTTAATTTAGCAACCAATTGGATTTCAAACCAATTTGACTCCAAAAATAATGAAAATAAATTAATCAAACTAAAATTTTCCCTTACCATTCATATTCTTATATTATATTCACTAATATTCTTTTATTTTTGAGAGTTAATCTCATATTAAATTTTTAACTAATTTTTAAACATTGATGATGCATAATTATGCAAGTGATTGATCCCTTAAATAAATTACCAAAAACTTAAAATTAAAATTAATTTTTATTCATCAAAAAGTAAATTAAAATGAAAAATTGACATTTATTCATCAAATGTTGTTTTTAAATAAAATATAAAATGAGAAGGCCCAAGCCCATTGTTTTTAAAGTTCATTCGAATTTTAGGTCTATTTTTCTTATTGATGTTATACTAAATTTCTAATTGGGTTCAACTTCTAACACATGCAATTAGAAGGCCCAAACCCATTTACTTTCTTCTCAAAAATTGATTTATACATTTATATAACAACTAATACTTTATAATATTATTATTATTTTTTTAGTATTTATAGAGTTTATATTAGATAAAAGTCAAATAGTAGAAACAATCTATCACTAAATTACTAAGAAGATGAGTAGATCTCATAAGAGTTCGATTCGTGTTCTCAGCTCACACCTCGTTCGATGCCTTATTTCATAGTAAACACTTCAATAACTCTGTTTTATTATAATTATAATTCGTCTTTACTTCAATTCTAATCATTTAATATACCTGGTCTTATTGGTATAATCATTGAACTAAATAATTTATGATATTGTTATTTTTACATAATTGCCATCAATAGAACTTGGTGCAACCAGTAGTATATGAATGAACTAATGTGTTTATTGGAGTTTTGTCTTTTAAAAAAAGTGTTTTATTTGAGAGAAATAGCAATTTTTCCTTCTATGAAATTCTCTCAATTCTAGAGAAACCCTTTTGTAGAGCACCATTAATTAAGTGGTTAATGTAGTTTTCTGAACTGTAAACTTATAGGTAAGTTGTGTAAAAGAATAATATTTCAATTGGAAGAGATGATCTCTGTTTACAGGGTGAGAAGATTTTCAAGTATAAGGGAAGTGGGATGAGAAAATTTTTGTATGTCACCCCAAAATTTATTAAATTTCAACTGTCTTCTGATTAATAGCTTTATATCTCCATCTCTCCTTCTCCACAAAATCTGCATCCAAGAAACGAGAAAGAAATGCCCACAGCCTGTATACATCTTCAAAATTTGTCAAGAACCCGAGTACAACATTCACCACACAGATCCCTGATCTCTCTTCTTTTTCTTTTTCTTCTTCTTCTTCTTCTTCATCATTGTTTTTGTCTGCCAAGTAAATGTGCTCCAGAAAACCATAATCCACTGAAATGTTATTTCTATCTGCAAGTTTCTGAACCAATGGCGGATCAATCTTCTCTCCTTTCCAATCAAACACATTGAAAGCCAATGCTGGTCCTCGATCAAACTTGATTTTTGGTCCGTAGATCTTCACCACCGGAAGATGGGTCTCTGAATTTGGGTGCTTCAGACTGATCAAAGCGTTTACCAACCAGTTGATTAAGCATCTCGCCCTGCTGCTGATCACAATCAACCCTAAATTGTCTGCGTCATCCAGACCTTCACATTCAACTCTTTTGGGTTCTGAACATTCCATAATTTCAGATATTGAAGCTGCTTTCTGTTTTCCTTTGTCATTTTTCTCCTCTAATGGATCTGAAAATGAACCGGGGAGAACAAGTGTATTGGATACTGGAAGTGGGATAAGCTGTACAATTCCTGCAGTAATTGTGTTTGTCAAAATTGAAGCACTGGATTTCTTAACAAACAGGCATCCAAACCCTGATGGATTTTCCCCAAAAACCCTGAAAAAAGAACAGATGAGGAAATCTGGTTTGAACAGAGAAAGTCCCAGAGTGTCCATGTCCTTAGCTCCCAATGCACAAGCATCAAGCAATACATGCCATCCATTCTCTCTAGCCACACTCATCCAAAGATATGGGTATCGATTTCCACTCATTCTTGATTGAAGAGGAAAAACAAACATGCCCTTCTTCCTCTTTTTCTTATTACTCAGTATCTTCTTCCTCAGTTTCTCTGATTGGATTTGAAGATTAGGCCATGAAAACTCAGCTGACATTACTCTTGCTCCTCTCCTTTTTGAGCTTTCAATCATCAATCCCACCGCCTCGTTTTTATGATCGTAAACTGTTAGAAGATTTGCGTTAGAATGAAATGGGTAAGAGTCAGCCACAATTTTAAAAGCAGACTGTTGGTTCGCAGTAAAAACCATGGTGTAATCCTCATCGGAGATATTCATAAACTCCATGATTCTCTTCTTGATCTTGGACCCAATTTCTGATTCTTGGGTATGAATGATATGAGAATTGAAGTTCAGTGACTTATAAGAAATGTCAAAATCCATGTGGGAGTGTTGAGGAGTGGAAGAGGAGGCGGGAAAAGAAAGAGATGGAGAATGATATTGAAGTTGAGAGTAGGAGAAGAGGCCATGGCCAATATAGTCAAGGCAAACATGGCCTGAAACAGAGAGATGGTAATAGTGTTTAGCTCGGATTTGATCTGCTTGATGGGTGTGGATATAGAGTGGATAAGCTCTGGTGAAATTGGAAGAGGATTCAGGTAGTGAGGGGAGAGATTCATGGTTGGTGAAATGGATGTGGGGATAGAGAGATGAGGCTGTGGCAATAACAAAATCAAGGTGGTAAGAACCAGCAGCAGCAGCAGCAGCAGCTTGAGACTTCGAACTGGTTTCTGTACTGGAATCGATTAGGGAAAGAAGAGGAGCTGGGCAGCAGCCATGGAAGCAAGCTTGAGAGACTTGTTTAACGCAAGGTGAAGTCATGTTTCCAACACAAGTCGTCGTTGTCTTCTTCAGTTCTTTGAAGACTTCTAATCTGCTCTCCACTGTTTTTGCCTAGCTGTTTCTAGGCAAATTATCAGAGAGTCTTTTTGACTTTGTTTTCTCCTCCTTCCTTTATTATTTACAATCATTTGCCTTCTTTCTGATTTAATCTTTTTTTTTTTTTTTTTTTAATCCTTTTTAGGTCAAATGAATATAATTTTACAGAGATTTTATGAGAAGTAGAAAGAAGTTCAAGAGTATACTTAATTCTTTTTTTTTACATAAGAGATTAAATTGTATTTTCGTAAAAAAGGAATTAGTAAATGTATATATTTAGTAGTGAAAAAAATAATGAGATTGTGATAATTAAGAGAGAGAGAAATTAAAAAGTGTTAGAGAAGATTCAACAAGTCTTTGTAAAAAAGAAAGAAAGCAAACAAGAGAAAAGGCAAAAGATACATGTTGATAGTGGCCGGCACTTTCACGTGGGACACAAGTGTTGCCAATAATCAAAGATGCCTCTTTATTTCTTAACCCTTTTTAACTTTTAAGGGACTACTTCTTCTCTTTAATACATTTGGTTTATGTTTTCTTATGGCTTTTCATTATGGCATGATGATCAAATACCAATTATATATATATATATATATATATGAAAGTTAAGTTCCATTGCATCCTTGTGTAAGTCCCTTTCTTCAATGGTCTTCTATTATAATTTATGACTCTTCATATACTCATTATAATTATAGTCTTTTTGGGTTATATATATATATATATATATTTATCCTCCAAACTTATTCTAAATAGGACCAAATAGATATTTTCTCAATACTTATATATATATATATAATAGTATCACATTTAGAAGTCCATGCCTATTTCAATTATTTACTTTCTATGCACAACCGAAATTTTAACTTGTTTAAAGCTATTTAATGGTCATTTGACTTGCATATTTGCTCATTTTTGATCGTTTTACTTGAGTTTAATCTCATGTACCAATGTAAAAATTCTACTCAGTACATAAAACATTGTGTTAAAAAGATATAAGTTTGCTTTACTCTAAGTGATTTTACCTAAATTTTTAAGACAATAAATATAATTATTTATTTATCATATTGATTTTGTCATAATTTTACTAAGCTTAACTAAGATATCATCTCTTTAAAATTTCTATTGGAATATCCTGATTCCGAAGTTGGTCCGAAATTAATTTTAATATTTTAGATATATAAAAAATTTATTTTTAAATTAATTTATTTTAATTTTTTTTAAATTTATGGAAAAAATAGTTTATGAATGAAATTAAAAATAATTTTGAAAAAAAAATGAGTGAAAATTTAGGTTCGGATGAGTGTTTTTGAAAAAAAAAATTAAAAATTGGGGGTTAGAATGCAAATAAAAAAAATTTTGCAACGTCGGACCACCCAATCAGCAACCCCGACGAACCAGAGCACACCGCGTGACACGGCACGCTCCGCGTGACACAGCACGCTGACGTCGGTGCCACACGGGATGTCATGTGGGCAATTTGCGTGTTCCACAATCGAGCGGCTCAGGATCAATCATGCGCGCGTGGACAGCCTGGATTTGTTCTCCCTTTAAACGCGATAGAACAGTCGAGATCAAATCGCAATGAACGGTCCACATTTATTTTTTTCTTAAATACGATCGGACGATCAAAATCAAATGCGATGAACGGTCCATATTCATTTTCTCTTTAGGCATAATCGAACGGTCGAGATCAAACGTGATAAACGACTCAGATTAACACGAGATGAGTATAAATATTTTACATCACACTGAATCTAAACTCTAGCTGCCAACCTTCCGACGGAGAAGAAGAACCAGTCGCTAGAGAAGGGAGGCGACCACCGACAGCCGCTGTACCGGAGCCACCTCTGACTGCCAAAAAATGTAAAAATTCTCCTACCTACTCGGAATTCGATTCCAACACCCTTGTGGCAATATCGAAACAAAACGAATGGTAGGTAAGTTGAAAACCGTGGGCAAAGCTCGGTGGTGCCGTAACGAGCAAAACCCGCAAACTCCTCCAATGAGCCATTTCTCATTTCCTGTTTCGTGTGATTTTTCTACTATTGTATTCACCGTTCTGTTTTCTACAGGTTGATTGAAGAAAAAATCCTAGCCACAAAGGTCAGCTGGTGGAGCCGCCGCACTCGAAAAACTCCACCATCGGTAGATTTTTGTTTTTTGATTTTTTTGGCCAACAAAAACCCCCTAATGTATTTTTTCAGAGGGATATGTATAAAGGCAGCCGAAACCAGACAAAACTGGCCAAGATTGGCTAGGCCGAGGTGAACCGCTATCGTGAGCGGCATAGCCGACTTAAGCACAGCGTCATCGCTGTGCCGGGGTCCCGAAATCGGTCGAAAAAAGTTTTAGACACCGATTTTGAATTCCTGGAGTATTTTTAGGTACGTAACAAGTGTTTTAAATTTCGCAGGGATAGTTCAGGAAACTCGGTACCCATTAAAAAGCATAGTAGATAGTGCGATATCCCGAAGCACCGATCCGGGTAAGGATCCCTTACCCTTTTCTCCGTTACAGTAAATTGAGACTTAATAATTAATAATTATGTATTTTTATAAAAAATTAAAGAACCTTAAAAATAATTACAGGTCATTAGTGGAGCCAGAACCGATTAGTTTACAATCATTTTGATTTTCTATTTATTTTTTCTATATTACCTATATTTGTTTACTATTATACTGTGCGTAACTCAATTGATGATTTTTAGGATTTTTTTAGTTATTTTGTTATTTGTTTCCCTTGTATTGCATGCTGGTATTCTAGTCATTAGTTATTTAGCTGTGTTAAACTATATTATTGTTTAAGTGAACGGTGAGTATAAAATGAGATATGGTTATTGCATGGTTGATAGTTATACTGATGGAAATCTGTATGAAAAAAACTTATTGGGTACCCGGGAAAAGGTAGATAGGCCGAGTACATAAAGAACCCTACCGTGAACGTTATCTCAGTCGGACGGGACTGGGAAGTCATTTACCAGTAAAGTTTGGGAGATATAGTTTACTTTCATACCGGAAGGGGTATGGGGACGGCCGATTAATTGCTTAATTGCATATTGGGTTCACGAGTAAGAGGACATCTCTATGGACCACCAGAGGTACCGGTAAGTGGATAAAAATATAAAATGATCGTTTCTTATTATCTTATATGTGATAAATAATAGTGCATGAATATGAGTTTTCATAAGTTATTGTTGGGAAAGACTTGCTACACAAATATGGAATAAATGACTTTTTTTTTATAGTAAATGAATTTATATTAAATTAAAGGCTCTATTGTTTGTTTTTCTAATTTTTATCAATTTTTAATTTTTCATATTTGTGATTAGTGTGATATTCTTACTAGGGTAGTGTAGCTTACCCCTTCATTAACTATTTCAGATTAAGAGAATCAAGATCCACATCCCGATCAACAAAAGGGTTATGAATTGTTCACTACTCTGACTCCCTTCAAAAGCTAGTGAAGGTCATTCTAGGATTGTTTAGTTATTTGTCTTTCGTTTATTTCTTTAATTTTTGTTTATTCTTTTAGAATGGACATTCCCGTAACCCTATTGGGCATTCTAAAGTATTGTGTAAGAAATGTAAATCCTAACTCTATTATTTTCTTTCTGCATTTAATTTATGACTTTATTTTCATTTAAATTTTGGGCCTCTACATTTGGTATCAGAGCCGCGTTCTTCAGAACCATTCCTTACACAAAGATCTAAGGAAACACCAAAAAAATGAATTATCACTCAACCATTTCTTGTGAAATGCATGTACAGATCTTCCTGAGCAGCCCGAGAGAGTTCGCTTCGAGAGGATGTTAACCGACTATTTGAAATGCTGGAGAGACTCCTCGTTGCCCAGTAAACCTGGGAGGAAAGGAGGGAGCTACCTGACCCTCCCCCGTTGCCACAGTTTGAGCCACCCTATAGTAGGAGGATCTTGAGCCACCCTGGTACAATCCTGCTCATCCGGCACCACCACAGTATAGTCTGATGCCCCCACCGCATCACTTGGCACCACCACATTACAATCTGGTGCTTCTACTGTATCATCCAGTACCACCACAGGGCCATTTAGCCTTACCCCAGCACAATCCAGTCCCTTTTCCATGAGACCCAGTTCTACCTATGATAGACCCATGCTACATTGAGAGGTACCAAAGACTAAACTCATATACTTTTGTAGGGATATCCTCCTTTGAAGAGACTGAGTATTAGTTACCTGAGACAGAGAAAGCTTTCATGACTCTTGGGGTGGTTCCCGAATAAAGAGTTATACTTGCCACTTATATGCTAGTGGAAGAGGCAGGTCGCTGGTGGTAGCTTAAACAGGCCACCATACCCGTTCTAGTCACTTGAAAACAGTTCCTGATGGCCTTCAATGCAGAGTACCTCTCAGAGTATTTTCAACATCTGAAGGAAATAGAGTTTGCACACCTAATCTAGGGTGATATGACTATATTAGAATATGCTTGAAAATTCTTAGAGTTAGGTCGGTATTCCCCTGAGAGCATGATGGATGAAGGCAGAAAGGTAAGAAAGTTTGAGTGAGGTCTCCGTCTTGATATTAGACATAAGCTGTATGTGTTCGAGCTCAGTACTTACTCAGTCGTTCTGGCCAAGGCACAACTAGTAGAGAGGAACCTTCGCATTTTTTCTCAAACAATAGGGAACCTCAAGCCCCCGGTTTTACACCGCAGACCAGCACCCACTACACTTGTTCAGCAGAACAAGAGACCTAGGTTAGTGACTCAAACTCCTCCTCATATTCCGGTCATAGGATGCAGTAAGACTTGTTAGTATTGTGGTAAAGATCATGACTGACCCTGCTATTGTCTCAACAATACTTGCTGTATATGTGGGAGTGCCCAGCACTACGCGAGAGAGTGCCCAAGGAATTAGAACCGGGCCCGACTTCTTATCTAATGCAGAGTTTACAGCCTCACTCAGCAAGATGCAGAAGCCAACCCATACGCGATATAGGGTACGTACACTATCTGTAATCATCTTGCACATGTTTTAATTGATATTGGTGCTTTACATTCATTTGTCTCACATGCTTTTACATTAAACT